CATGCCTTTCGGGTTGCGCAACGCTCCCGCCACATTCCAACGGCTCATGAATATCGTGCTGGGAGGCGTCTGCAAGTGTGAGGTGTATTTAGATGATATTGTTGTCTATTCAGACACCTGGCCAGAGCATATGGAGACACTCACTGATGTGTTCCATCGCCTGGAAAAGGCATCCCTCACCCTCAACCTCACCAAGTGTGATTTTGGTAAGGCCATGGTGATGTACTTAGGAAAACAAGTGGGTCAGGGACAAGTGCGCCCTATCTTGGCCAAAATCCAGGCCATACTGGACTTTCCTGCTCCTCGGACTAGGCGTGAGCTCCGCTGTTTTCTCGGCATGGTGGGCTACTACCGGGGGTTCTGTTAAAATTTCGCGGAAGTGGTCGCACCCCTCACTAGCCTCACTAGTGTGTTGAAACCTTTTGTGTGGTCCTCTGCGTGTCAGAGTGCGTTCCTGGCTGTTAAGACTCTCCTGTGCAGTGCGCCAGTGCTGGCTGCCCCTGATTTTGCACGCCCTTTTAAATTAAAGGTAGATGCTAGTGCAAACGGAGCAGGTGCCGTATTGCTACAGGAAGACCATCATGGTGTGGATCACCCAATCGGCTATTTCTCAAAGAAATTCAATGTCCATCAGCGAGGGTACAGCACGATTGAGAAAGAGGCCCTCTCTCTGCTGTTCGCATTGCAGCATTTTGAGGTGTACGTTGGTTCCAGCCCCTTGCCTGTGATCGTTTATACCGACCACAATCCCCTGGTATTCCTAATGCGAATGCAAAACTCGAACCAAAGGCTGATGAGATGGTCTCTCCTGGTGCAGGATTTTAACTTGGAAATCCGCCATAAAAAGGGCACAGAGAATGTGTTGGCGGATGCCCTATCCCGTGTCTTCCTCTAAACATAACTGTTCAAAACATCTACAAAGGAGATGTCTTTGATTTTGGGAAGGGGGGTGTTACGGCTGTGGCCATAAGAACACTGTGTGGGCTGTTTTGTTCTGTGTCTCTTTACTGTGCTTAAGACTCTTTGCAGGTCCCTCCCCTAATGAAGAGTAGTGAGCAGCTGATTGGACCGTGGAACACGTGACCGTGTTCAAAAAGCTGCTCTGACAGCTCCCGCTGGAGAGAGAGAGAGAGTGGAGCGAGCGAGTAGCTTGACAGCCGACGCGGTCCTGACCCTGGTTACCAACCTATACTTTTGCTGTATATTTGTGTGAGCGTGATCTGTGAGAGCCGCTCCTGCTGTGTTAACTTGGTGCTTAGGCACCCTTAGGCTGAAGCGGAAGGGGTGAGCCGCCTTTTCCTTTGGGAACAGTTTTCTCCTGTTTTCCGGGTTAGGGAGCGAGGGCTAGTATTGTCATTTGTTTGTTCTGTTTTCTTTCATAGGGTTTAGTTAGTGTTCTCTGGTGGGACTTAGTTGGTTTTGTTTATTATTTTGGCCTGGGTTCACCCTGGAGCTGTGCTTCATTACCTTCAATAAAATCCCCTTTTTACTCACAACTGGTTTCGGATGTTTGGCTTGGGAACCAGGGCAGGTATTAGTCTCTCTCTCCTCCAACCTTATGTGCGTCTCTACACGCCTAGACTAGGGGCGTAACAGCCTATCAACACAATTTAAAAGCTGGTATATATCACCTTGTTGCTTTGTCTTTAAGTGGTCATGTGATTGGCTTACCAAGACTACTTTATTCTTCCTCAGTCAAACAGCAGCACTCATGCGATTGTTTTGCCCCCTGAGCTCCAGGTGTTGTGCCAAAACGTGATCATCTACCAGACAGTGATTGCTGCCCGCAGGAGCGTGCACAGCTGCTTAAAGCTGTAGCGCCCAGATTACTTACGTAGACAGCTACTTCCATTCAACTGATATAAGGTGCGGTAGGCTAAAGACAGCTTCAACCGTCTGTTTGTTGAAAAATAGTAACGCGACCGCATAGCATTTTCTTTCTTTCTTCCTTTCTTTCTTTCTAACGGTAACAGCGTTGTAACGATAGGAATAGGAATTAGTTAGATTACTCGTTACTAAAAAAATTAACGGCGTTAGTAACGCTGTTACTTGTAACGCCGTTAATTCCCATCACTGGATTCCACCCTCAAAGATATCATCGATCTGATTAAAGCTAATCTGCTGCTTTTTTCTGACTATCCTCGGAAAACATTGGTGATGATATCGTTGTGGAAGTTGATAAGGCAATGAAACAACACACCTATAGAGTGAATCCTACCAACCAACTGGTTTTAATGCAAGAGTAAGTTGAATATCTAGCTAAACATGGGTTAGCTGTGCCCAGTAGCAGTGCATGGAGTTCGCCCTGTATTTTGGTGTCCAAACCAGATAACACCCCACGTTTCTGTACTGATTACAGAAAGGTTAATGCTACATACGTTACTAAGCTAGACCTCTCTGGGAAATTATAAAGGTATGATTAGATGATGTTTGTCAACTGTGAAAACCAGCCTTCCCTGACACCATGTACTGAACCCGCTGCTCCACTCCTCCCCTGCAGCAGAGCTCCCAATCACACTGCAGTCAGTTTTTAGTTTATTCTGGTTTACCTATTTCTGCTCATGTTTTTGTCATCTGCCATAATAAACTACACACTCTTTGTTAAAGTCCACATTTGGGTCATCTCAAAAGAAAACCACACAGTCTGCCACTGCTGTTTGTCCTTGTGTTCCTGCTCCCAGGATAGCTAAGGCCCAGCCATTCCCTGCAACTGTATCAGTTTCTTGGGTGAGGGTGGCTAGGACGGCTTTGTCAACAAAGATATGTTTATTTTCTTCAGTGACCCCATTCCCAGATGGCCAAATCCCTACACTCTCAGCATCTCTGTGGGACTGAAATGCGTTCTGTGGAGGAAACAAAGAAGTCCTTTAAAAATTTTGGTATATTTGGCTGATCCCGAATGCTCCTATGCCGTTCTGCTCCTCTCATCACCCAACTAAGTGACTCACTACTCGCATGAAATAAGAAGACCATATGGCTGCGAATCTGATGATACATTTACAATAACATCAACATAGGTTTGAGCTAGGCTGCAAACCAAGTTAAGGGAACAGTCCTCTTGCCTACCAAAAATCCCAATGTACAGACACTGAAGTATAATGACCTTACCAATGGTGGAGTGGAAATGAGTCCAGCCTCTTCCCAGGAGACTAGTTCCAGAAACAAGACTGTGTATTGATGTGGTCCTACCTTTATTTCCATGGTACCTCTCAACCTCACATAAAAGTTCTGGCTTCTTCCTTTACTAACATTAATGTTAATTATTGTCTGTGTGATTTTAAAAATACTATACCATACAGTAAAATGTCCCATAGAATTTCTGGGACTATTTAGTTTAACGTTGTAAAATGTTTTCATTCATTCATTTTGTGCACTGCACCGTTTTTGCATTCATTGTGTTTTCTGTTCAAATAGTTTTGCTTTTTCAGTCTTATCGACCACTACTGCCATGTACTTTTTCAATAGTAATATTCCAAATAGAACGAAGTATTTTATTCTATTTGTATTGTACTTTTTATATTGTATATAGTATTTTATTCTAGTTTGTATAGTTATTCTATTCTACTGTTTTTTTCCTCTTTTTTTCTTAATTTTTTACTTGTCTTAACTTGTACTTTCTGCCATGACCAAAAGATTTCCCACATGTGGGATTAGGTTTATCTTGTTTTATGGCTCTAGTCTATAAATATAATAAATCAATACATTTTTCACATATGCATGAGCAGAATTGGAGAAGCGCTCAAACATGCAAGCACATGCGATGCTTGAGTCTCATTGGTGCAGGCAAGCAGCAGGTTCAGCTGGCTGGGCTTAGATTCTTGCAACACTTAGTCACATGGGCTGATGATTATCTCACACAAATAGGCACACAGAGCAGGGATCTGTGTATTCTGTGATTGCACAAGCCCTTCCCCCTCCCTTTAGAGCTCTCTCCCTGTCGCTCCCTCCGTCTCTCTGCTTCCCTGCCCTTTTCTGTTGTCTCTATTTTTCTCTGTAGTGCACGCCTACACGTAAAGGCACACACTCAGCCAAAGCAAAATTGTCGCTGCGCAGCTACATTTGCGATTTAAGAGGTAGGAAAACACTGATTATTTTTCAAACTACTTCAATTTTCATGTGTTTTATTCTTTAGCCAGTGCTGGTACGCCCCTTCTACAGTACGCCTGTTTATCTCCATTGGATACCTTTGTGTATGTGTGAGGAAGAATGTCTGTGCCTTTGTCACCGCATTTCACAGGCTTGTTCCGACCATTATGGACCTATATTGTGGGAAACTTTCAATGTGGAAGCTGAGGGGATTGCTTGGTGTCCTAGAAGAGCAGTTCTTATTCCAGTCATGTTTGGGCTCGACATTCCTGCTTCCTTTTATTGTTTCTTAATCCTGCCAATTTTTACTAACCCAAGCTGTAATTGCTATTTCTCTCACATATTTGTAGCACTACTCAAGTGTAATATTCTGGATATTTTTACATTTTTAATTTTTTTATTCACAGATGACAAAGAGGATACAGTGTTAGGGAGTCTGCCCCTGCTCAGTTTCCAGATTGGAGGAGTAGAGCTTTCAGAAAACATCACCTGCAAATTTGCCTTTAAGGTCAGTAACTGAACATTACAAAAGGTTCATATGTAATTGCTTGTTATGGAAGAAATACATTGTGTATTGAACAGCATAGATCTATTAAATGACTTTGGAATGTGCAATTGTTGCAATAAATGCATTGGTTCTTATATAATGCTTTTCCATCTTAGCAGTCAAAGCACTTTATTTAATTCGCTTCACTCTCCCATTCATACATGAGTATGTATTTTCTATGTAAGTGCTTATAGCTAACATTCACACTCCAACAGATGCATGCAAGAGCAACTTAGTTAGTAGGTTAGTATTCTGGTAATCGCCAATCTTCTGATTAGCAGATGACCTGCTCTACCTCCTGAGCTAAAGCCACTTCTGTAGTCTTTAGTCTGTAGCTTAGTGGAAAGCAAATATGACTTGGTTCTTCGTATTAGTGTGCTTTGCCTTAACTTATACAACTGATTAATGAAGGTCTTCAGAAAGGTTCTCTTTAGCACAAGATGATTTATATAATGAAATAGGCAGCTGTTATAATATTCCATATAGTGGGATGGTTGTTACCTGTTCTCCTGAGTGATAACAGTTCCTCACAGAACAGTTTTAACCCCTGAGCTCCCTTGTGCAACAAAACGTCTCATTGAAAAAATTGGGATTTGCTAATGTTGGAACTTTGTTGTTGTTTTTTTGTTTTGTTTTTTTGCCTTGGTGTAGTGAAGGATGTTGATTTGGTACTGGCTAATAAAAATGTAATAGCCTTGGGCTGAGGTAATGTTTACATCATAGTGAAAGATTTATGCTTTATTTTCATTTAAAGAAAAGACCTGGGATTAGAACAATGGGTTATTATTAAAATATATTCAGTTATTTTAAATGGTAAATGGACTGATTGTTATATAGCGCTTTTCTACTCTCCCGGAGTACTCAAAACGCTCTATACAACATGCCTCATTCACCCATTCACTTCTAAACACAAGTGCAAACTAATCTACATTCACATGCATTCACACTCCAATGAATGCATCGGAGGGCAACTTGGGGTAGCATCTTGCCCAAGGATATTTGACATGTAGACTGGGGAAGCCAAGGATCGAACCACCAACCTTCCAATCAGTAGCTGATGTGCTCTACCACTTGAGCCACCACACCCCATTTTAATCTTTAGTATATTATGTTTGCCTTTTATTTTCAGCTTTTACTGCAATCACTGTTTTCTTTTTCACTTTTCAGTAGATCTAGGCTTTTCTGTCACTCTTTCTCTTGACTAGTGCAAACTCTGGCTCAAAGTCCAGTTTATGTACCCAGTGTGTACACACACACAAACAAAAGCCCATGTAGGTTTTTTACTGAGTGGAGACAGACTGCTTTTTTTCCCTAAAGAACATGAACTGAAAAAGCTTTTTTTTATTCAGTGTTGTTACAGTACTTAGTACTCTTGTCTCTTTTCCTCATAACTAAGGTATTTGGTTTTGGGTGTACAGAGACCATACGGTTACATAATAGCAGGTCCATCAGTGAGTGGTGTACTCGACCAGTTAAGTCAAACTGCAACACGATTAACAAGACATAAAAAAACACAAAGTGTTAAAACGTTAAAACGAACACAGATAATTGTAACTCTTGTTTTCACATTTACAGAAGCATGCGGGAGGTCATTGCTGACCATTTTCAGTGTAGCAAGATTTTTTTCCTTGCTAATAACAAAAATAGATTGGTGAATATGTAATAAAATCTTTCTGTTAAGTTCAGAAAAGTGTTCATTTTGAAACCATGAACATGCACACCAAAATTTGAGGTCCTTCAGTTCGTGGTGTAGTTTTTATGATATAGCTGCATCTGGCTGGGTATGTGTTTATGTATGAGACAGATAATCAAGGCATTTCAGTTTTTTCAGCATGAACTTTGAACTTTGAACCATCAGCATGGTTCAAATACCAGCTCAACTAGCAAGCTCTTGAAACCAGTTTTATCAGCAGATTTACCACCTTCCTGTACAGTGGCGTGGGTTAACCTAGGGTACATTTAAGGGTTTCAGTAAAGTTGACAAATGTGCAAGTAAAAGTTATGTTTCATCTTAGTGTTCAAGCCAAACCAGAATTATTATATTTTAATAGAAATATTTAATCAAATGTCAAAGCACTTTATACAACTTGCCTCATTCAGCCAAGCACTTCCTTCTACTGAAGTGCTTTCTATCTAATATTCATACAGAGGGTAACTTGGTATTAGTATTTTGTCCATGGATATTTGACATGCAGACTGGAGCAGCCATGGATCAAAACCACCAGCCTTTCAATTAGGAAAGGATCTGCGCTACTATCAGAGTTACAGCCACCTGAGAAGAACTCAAGGTTCTATATCATCAATGTCAATTTCTCCTTTATGGCAAATTAGGCTGGCTTGTCAGATATCACAATATCAGCTATTGTGCTAGATTTATCTAAAAGTCTTATGCTGTGGGACTGCATATGACTGACACTTTCTTTTTACTATTCTTAAAGTTAAACTAAGGAGGCAGAAATAGGAGTGGGTTTTAAAAAACGATTTTCCCAAGTCAAATTAATTTTATCTTAAATAAAGCAATATCGATTCATTAAATCTCAAATTGATTTTTTAAATGTAAATCGATTTTGCCAGAATCTCAGGTTAAAGCTCACAAAACTATTTTAATGACCACTAAACAGCTAAAACAGTAAATGAGAGCAGTTACACGGATTCAGCACAAAGATGTAAACACAGATTATTGTTCACCCGATGGCACATACGCAGGCATGCCATCTGAGCTGAAAGCCAACATCTAACAGATTCTAAAGATGCAGGTTTCTTCCCCAAAGTTCACTGAATCAGCAGCAAAAGAAGTCATGAATTCCCTCCACCACAATGAAAATTACACTTCCTGCACAGCTCTCTCTCTCTCAGTGTACTCTACGCATCTGCATGCATCTATCCATCCACCCATTTTCTTACATTTATCTGAGTCGCAGGGGCAGTTGTCACAGCAAGGATACCCAGATCTCTCTCTTGCCACCTCCTCCAGCTTATCTGGGGAAACATGAGGTGTTCCTGGGCCAGCTGATTTGTCCAGTGTCCTGGGTCTGCCCCAAGGCCTCCTCCTAATGGCACATG